GCCACGCCTGGCCTCGGCCAGGAACATGGACTCTGCACAGCTCCCCCTGCGCTGGGCCCCAGACTTGCCCTATTTCATGAAACCTCACAATTACCCAATTACATCTCCATCCCCACGGCAGATGAGGAAACAGATGCGAGGGAGTCAGGTGACATGGCCAAGGTCAGTCAGCTGGTACAGCAGCCTGTCCCCAGCTAGTGCTCTTTAAGACGAGAATGACCGGGCTGCCTGGAGTTGGGGTGACCACGTAGCGATGGGGGAGAGGGGCTGGGAGGGCTTGAGGAGCAGTGGAAATGGGGCACGTGGAGCCAACTGGTTCCTTAGGGATCAGGTAGCCCAGAGTGTGTGTGAGTGTGTGTGAGTGTGTGAGTGTGTGAGTGTGTGAGTGTGTGTGAGTGTGTGAGTGTGTGAGTGTGTGTGAGTGTGTGAGTGTGGGGGAGGGGGGAGGGTGCGGGGTGAGTGTTGATCTAAAGGAACTGTTCCCTGCCCAGAGGAACTCAGATGAGCATGTGCCAGGACTGAGCGGCGTGGGGAGCAGGTCTAGGTTCCCATCCAGTTTGTCACCATGTCTCCCCTCCCACCTGCCACTCACCTCGGAGAACATGGGCAGTTTTTTGGCAAAGTCCACCACACGGGTGATGGCCGGGGTGATGATCTTGGTAAACTCGCTGAAGGCCTCTAGGTCCACCTTGTCTCCGTCCGGCATGGAGACGATGGGTGACTGGCCAATGTCGTCCGGCTGGAGGGAGAGAGAGGCAGGGGGTCAGCCAGGGTTGCAGACCCCGTCCAACCTCTGAGGCTCCCTGCCCACCAGGGGGAGCTCCAAGGCAGCTTGGGGAAGAGGGGCCGCGGTCCCTGGGACTGCTAGATCCCAGGCCCCCTTCTCCTTCACCTCCGGGCAGAGAACAGACCAGAGCCAGAGCTCCAAGTCTGCTAATAATAACAATGACCACCACAGCAGCAGAAGTAATGTCATAAGAATAGAAGCTATATTTACTGAGTGTTGAATATGTGGCCAGGCATTAGGCCACGTGTTTTACACGTATTATCTCATTTAATCCTCACCACAACCCTATAAAGAAGGTATTATAGTTATCTCCATTTCACAGATGAGGAAACTGAGGCACAGGGCAGCTACCTAATAAGCCCAAGGTCACGCCTAGTAAGTTGTAGAACCAGACGGTCTGATTCCTGACCGTTACAGCACACTATTCCACCCACTAGCATACCTTACCAGGAACCAGACTGCCAGTTTCCTGCCTTCTTTCACCATAGACAACCACCTGACCATTCACTTGGCACTCGGTTTTGCCAGGGCCCACCACAATGCCTGGCACCCAGCAGGTGCCCCAAAATACTGTTCCATGACCGTGTCCTCCCCCTCTCCTCCCAGTTACTGTGAGCGAAGAAAAGAGAGGTCAGGGTGGAAATCTAATGAGGAAGGAAAGGCCCCGTCCTCACGTAGCTCCCAATCAGGTGGAATAGGCAGGACCCAGAGGGCAGTCATACGTATACAGGTGTTCAAACCAAAACCACCAGGGTCTGAGGAGTATCAGCTTTGTGCTAGAGCAAACCAAGAGGGCTTCCTGGAGGAGGCAAGACTCAGCTAGCTCTCCTCTCCCTGGCACCTCGCTGCCACTCACCCCCACCCCCTCTCTCCTTACCAGGAATTTCCGCCTCTGCTTCCAGTGGCTGCCTTGGGCATTTGTGCTGCGGTGGGCCTCCGTGGCAACATGGATCAGATCCCACTCTTCCGGAGTGGGCTCTGGTCGCTGCTGCAGTGATCGGATCATCTCCTCCTTCCGCCGCCGCTCCCGGTTCTGCTCGATCAGCTTGCGCTTGGCCACCCGCTTCGAGTCATCTAGAACCACTGTCAACAGGAAGACACAGGCCCTTTGCATGGCACTCTCCACCACCCTCTCGGAAACTACTCTTCCCAGTGTGCAGGTTGGGGAAACTGAGGGCCAGAGAGGTTGAGCGACTTCCGATCCACCTAGCAGCTGCGCGGCACAACCGGATCATGATAATCACTGGGACATCAGCTCCACTTCGGGCTGATCCAGAGGCAGAGCAGGTTCTGGTCTAAAGGGTTATGGTGACAGCAGGTACTAGAAGACCCTGCCACCCAACCCCTAGGCAATGAAAGATACCCTCTCTCACCCAGAAGTGGGGTGTCCTCTCTGGATGGGGTGCTCAGGACTTCGTTCTACCCAACAACTCCCTCTAAGGCCTGGAGTTGGTGAAAGGCAGGTAAGCACCAGGTTCATGTGCAGGACCCAGAGGAATGCTGTTTCCTGTTCCCCAGGGCAGCAGGGACCAAGATTCTGAACATTCACTTCACCATCGGCCTGACCTGCATTGTCACTCTGCCCTGTGGGCCCTGAGCGTACCTAGGAAGGCAGCTGCCCTATCTGAACTCACCCCCACCCCCAACCGCCTGGCCTGACTCCCCCCAACCCCCATCCCCTTACAGTCCATGGCCATGCCCACGGCGATGCACTTCTTAAAGCGGCACAGCTGGCACTGGTTGCGGGTGATCTTATCGATGACACAGCAGCTGTCATACTTGCAGGAGTAGGTGGGATGGAGGTTCTTCTGGATTGTGCGGCGAAAGAAGCCCTGGGGCGGGAGGGAGATGGAGTGTGTTGTCATGGTGACTTTCCGGAAATGACCGTGCAGCTCACCGGGGGGTGGGGATTAGTGAGGAAACCTGGCACGCTCCTGACACAGCAGGCCCAGGACCACTGGGCTCTGTGAGGACTGGGGAGGACCTTAGGAACGCACGCCCTCAGCTCCTCCAGCTGCTTGGGGGGTTGGGGGGTGGGGGAGGGATGTGTGGGTAGCGAATGGCAGAGGTGGGGATGATGACTGAAAGTATGGAGATCTGGGCCTGGGAATGGGAGGTCCTGTGAAGCCTGCGTGATAGCGGCATTGGCATCCGGGAAATTCCCGATTTCCGTCTTTTGGCTAAATGACCCTGACCCCCAAACCACTCTCATACATGCTGCCTGTTGCCCATGCAGGTGGAGTTCATGGAAAAAGGGGTGGGAGGGTGTCAAAATGTCAAAAGAAGGCGGCATTGTGTATGAATTCTAGCAGCTTTAACACAACGTTTTCCGTTCTACATAACACGATGAACGCTCACTGTGTGCGACACTTCCAAGCCTTTTCTTTGGGGGCATCGTCACCTTTGACACTGGTGTCAATCCCATAGGGTAGGAGCTGTCCCTGTCTACGTTTTGCGGACTAGAAAACGGAAGCTTGGAGAGATTGAGCCATTTGTCCAAAGTCCCTTCATTTGCTTAAACTGCCCACATGGCTAAAGGGGTGTCAGAGCCAGGGCTGGCCCTGAGGCACGGGGTACCGAGGTCTGAGCGCTCAGATTCTAGGGTGCCTTAAAATCACCCAGGGTCTCCGGATTCCTGGGCCTCGCTCTGACCTACGTGAGACCCACTAGGGGCGGGGCGGGCATCCCTGTCCTTTGAGATGCTCTTCTGGAACTCGGGTCTGGGTGCCTGGTCTAGGTCACACTGCTGGTGTCGCTTCCAGGGACACTGCACTGGGACTCTGCATCCCTGCTGGTCCTGGTTGGGCCAACACCAAGAAAGAAAGGAACGGGGAGCCTTCACGTATTTTAAAATATTTCTGTTTCTTGGAAGGTTGACATTTTCGGGGAGCGAGGATCCCAGAGAAACC